GCGAGCGGGCCAAAATCCTGTCGCGCCAGCGAGGTCTACGTCATTTTGACGTCACAGTGTCGCGCGACAGGTCTCAAGCGGCAAGCATACTTCGGCCTTTATGCTCACACGTCCTTAGGGTGCATGGGGAAGGTAAACAAAAGGTGTTGAAAGGTAATGTCATGTGTGACACTTTGCTTATAATTGCCTGTAGGTTCCTCAATCCAGGTTTCCTCCTTTCAGTCCATCAGCCTAACAATTTATTTTATCTCAAAGACAGAGTGAGGGCTGTGGTGTTTGTCATGTGTTGATTCGCAGAAAATCTCTTTAAAGTGCTTCCTCTTTGGGCCAAGAGGTTTTGCCTAAACATGCCTGTGCAGCACCTTTGATAGCACGCAGGGGCGGGACACATGGAGCAATCACCAGAGCTGATCATACAAAGGTTGCGCTCCAGGGTCTCAGAAATCTAGCACCCCAAGGAGGTTGAGAATACACATTTAAAAGTTTATCCCAATCACAGTTCTTTTATATTCATTCTGCTGCTGCAGAGAAATGGCTGCTATCACAAACCTGCATATTAGTACCACTTTCTCATAATTCAGGTTTCTATGCTGTTCTCAATAATCAAATAATTAATAAATTATTTATTAATGCTTCATAGATCAGTTTTAAACTGTTAATAAGATTAACTTTTGGGTTGCCAGGTTAATATAATTGGCACATGTTTATCCTTTGTATTTGGAAATAAAGTAGTTATAAAGTTTTACATTTTCTAATAAGCCATCAAGCCTGCAGTTACAGTATATATGTTAGTAAGTCATTTTTTATAGGGGTTTCACTCACTCAACTTCAAGTCTGCAGTTATACGTATTAATAAGTTGATGTGAAAACATGGATGTGACATTCAAATACTGATCTATAAAGCATTAGTAAATTATTTATTTACCATTAATAAAGCCATTAGTTATTAACCCTGCAAGAACCTCTCTGGGATGAATCCTGCAGTAGAATAATTATGGACTGAGGTCATTAGCAGGCTGTATTTGTCATCTTTTTTATGTTTTTAAAATGCCCTACTGGCTGCAATTAAGTGTAGATGAAATAGAGACTTAGTAGAATGTAACATAGATAACATAACTATATATAGCTATATTATATATATATATAAAATATATTGAAGATGCTCAAAAGTGATCAAAGCATTCTTTAGGAGTGCTCAGAAAAATCTGAATTAGAATTACAAAATTAGGTCTTATGCATGAATGTAAACCTTGATCTGAGTATTTCAGTAGTCATTTTTGTCTTCATTGCTTTGCTCACCTTCTTGGGGCCCCGGGGCAAAAAGGTGCTGGGCCCCTATTAACCCCCCGCCCGACATTTCTCCTACTCTCTCTACATTCCAAGAATATCATATTTCGATTATTAGGTTTGCTGTGTGCCGAATTGATTAAACACAAAATCATTTAGGCACCGTAACAGTGAATTTAAATCATATGAAATAATAAAAAGCTACAGCTAAAGGCTGGAGAAAGCAGGACCACTTGCATATCTGTCTGTTAAATATTAAGCTACAGCTATCAGTTGGGTAACATAGCTTAGCATAAAAGAAATACTCCATACGAAGATTTAAAAAAATCTGTCCAACAGTCCCTCTTAAACTCACTCATTATTAATCTGTTTAATGTGGAGAAAAACTGAAGTGTAACAAAAACAACAATTCACTGTTTTATGGTGATTATATGCTGGACTGTTTCTTGGCACGGACTGGCACATAACACCCCTCCGTAAAACAGAGAAATGTATTTCTCACATGTTTTTTGTATGGATTACACAAGCAAGATACAACAAGTCTATCAATGAGATTTAGAGATGCTGGTTGGTGGGATTTGTTAATTTGGACAGAGCCAGTCTTGCCATTTCCAGTTGTTGCAAAGCTAACTGACTGCTGGCTGTAGCTTTGTATTTAGCACACAGCCTCAGGGGGCTTCAAAGTTCTGCACATCTTGTACAGAAAATGTGCTGATCATCTGCTGTCATGATTGCCTTTCCTACTTGCACATTTAGTTTATCTTGGTTTTCATCTGTGAAGAGAAACAGCCGCTTGCAGGAGGCAAAACATCAACAGCAGGAGCGATACTGGAACCAGTACAGTCATGCTGAGGCCTGTTCTTCCTGCTCGGCTCATAGATAGAGAACACTTAATATGAAGGTTATCCTTAAACAGTGCAAGATGCCACAGATCAAGGTAGCAGGCCACAAATAAACAGGGAGTAAAGGAACCAGTATGTTATTGCTTTCTCACACGATATAATTTTTTCAACTGCTCACACATACACATACACATCTCTACAGCTATCTAATAAGAGGCAATGCAATGGCAATCCAGGTATAGTATTATTGCCAAGAATGTTGGGTTAAACAAAGAACGATTATCTACCATTGGTTATTCAGATTAGCATATGTATTTTGTGAAATACCTGTAAACTCTTTGCTTTTTCCTGGGATGTTCCATAGAAATATCTAAATATCTATGCGGGCGATCACACAGAGATGCATTATTACAGGTGCAACTGCTTAACAAAACACCTTGGCAAAGCACATCGGGGAACAGCTGGTGCACCTGTGGAACTAGGCTGGGCGATCAAATATTGTTAACATAAATTCAAGCAAAAGGCAACGTCTAGATGAGTGAAATCTTGCTTCATTTCAAAGAGATGGATAAGTACATTTACTTGGGTTTACCCTCGACTACGCCCCTGGACTGGGTTGCACCGGCTATCTGTAAGTTGTCTCCGGCGCTTCTAAAACATCTTGGCAAAGATCGTCTGTGAAAAAACAGCTGGTGCACCTGTGGAGCAGAGATGCACACGCAACTGGGCGATCATATATGATAATGGAAAAAAGTTGATTCAAGCTGACCCATTCACTG